TTTCATGCATAAAACAATTTAGTAGATTAAGCGAATTGAACTGAAACATTATAATTACTTTTTTTTCTTGTTATGCTCTTAGGTGCAAATTGCATCTGCATGTGCATGTTCTAAGTATATCTTCCATGTAGACATGCAGAGACATCCTCTCAGGTTGTATTTGGATTATGTGGGTTATCTCTACCAGAAAATGGAGCCACTTTCTGAACAAGAACGTGTTGAGGTCTTTCTTCCATTCTCTTGCAATATGATTGTTAAATTTTTCCTTCATTATGGTCTTCTCACTCTGAATTTCTGTTATGCCAGCTTGGTTATAGGGACTTTTTACAGGCTCCATTGCAAGTAAGTTTTTCCTTTGCTTCTAGTATTGTCTTTAGGTTCACAGGCCTTTCCATTTTGTTAAAATATACACAGAAACAGAGTGAATCTATTGTCTTTAGGTTAACACTTCTTCTATTGCCTTGTCCTTTCAATTTCTCTTGACCCCTTGCTACTTCCTTTTATCATTTCTATCATGAGTCAATTTATTTTACCATTTCTATGCAGCCTCTCATGGACAATCTGGAGGCTCAGACCTATGAGACGTTTGAGAAAGACTCGGTCAAATACATCCAGGTATATTTATTTACCACTGCAAGAAATAATTTGAGCAACCTTTTTTATGGTTGGTACTCCTCATCTTATGCAGTTAACTGGTGCTGTTTTTGTTTTTGGTTTTAATATCTAGATGCTGATTGTGTGCTTATATCTTGCTAGTACCAAAGGGCAATCTGTAAAGCATTGCTGGACAGGGTCTGTGATGAGGATGCATCAACAATAACCACTGTATGCTATGCACATGCTACTGCTTTTTTCCTTTCTTTTTTCTTTTTTGGTCAGATGTCTCAGATAATTTCATTTCTAGTAATTTGTATCCCATTTAGCATTTCACGAAATCAAATGCTCTCAAGATTTGGTATTCCTGACTTTGGTGTGTGGGTGGGCCTGTTGCAAGGTACTGATGGTTGTAGGAGCAGGACGAGGGCCTCTTGTGAGGGCAGCCTTGCAGGTTTATTTCTGTTTCTTCTGCAGGAGTGCATATGACTGGGTTCTTTTTTAGCAAACATTGCCCTGATTTCTGCAATTCTATGCTGTTCTGATGCATGTTTCTGTTCTATAGGCAGCTGAAGAAACTGGAAGGAAGCTAAAAGTCTACGCTGTGGAGAAAAATCCAAATGCAGTTGTCACGCTCCATGTGGGTTGCTGTTTTAATATTTCAAATTGTCATACTTGGTAGTTGCTAACTGCTTAGGGACTAGGACAAATAGTTTCTAATACAGCTGCTAGTAATGTTGTAACCATGTGTCAGTTTTTTTTGGCACAAGGTATTTAAACTTCCCATTTAGTTGTGAAAGTAACACTGTATCCATTTGACCAGAGCCTGGTTAAACTGGAGGGCTGGGAAAACATTGTTTCCATAGTTTCTTGTGATATGCGTTGTTGGAATGCTCCTGAAGAAGCTGACATACTGGTGGGTGTATATTTGTTCATGGTCTGGTCTCTGTTTTCTTTTCCATTAATGCCTATTATCTTATTTTCTTTTGTTATGCTATGCTTTAGGTTAGTGAGCTGTTGGGTTCTTTTGGCGATAATGAATTGTCTCCTGAATGCCTTGATGGGGCCCAAAGGTTTTTGAAGCAAGATGGGATCTCAATACCTTCTTCGTATGTATATTCCTCTCCATCAATTACCATTATTTTTATATCTTTATTAAGATGTTAAGATGATGTATCAAGTGATCCTTCCTTAGGATTACATTATAATATCATTTCCTAGCACTTTTTTTATTTGTGCAGTAGTATTTATGTGGTTATCATGTGGTCAACCTATATTTGTTAAAGCATATTGAACCTCGATGAAGGATGGCATTTGGGTGTCCTATTCTAGTTGCCTAATATTTGCTGCCGACTTCACTGAAATTTTTTATTTTTTGTTTCAAATATTATGGATTGTTTTGAGGCAATTGAGTGACCAAACGTAACCATAATACTTGACAGTTTTGATTCTTATTTACCTTAAAACCTTTCTTGACATACCTCTTTTCAGGTACACAAGTTTCATCCAACCAATAACTGCTTCAAAGCTATATAATGATGTAGGTGCTGCTAAGTTGCACTCCAAAATATTCCAATAACTTGATTTTGAAGTTTATTATTTAACCAATTTTTTTTTTTTTTCTGCCTATGATTGTTTCATAGGTCAAGTCCCATAAGGATCTTGTTCACTTTGAAACTGCTTACGTTGTCAAACTGCACAATATTGCTAAGCTGTCTCCCTCCCAACCTGTGAGTTTGATGCTCTAGATTCCATGCTTGATTTTACATTTTTTTTGACATGATCTTTACTGTCAATTATTCTCCTGAAATTGGTCTCCTGTGTGCTGACAACCGATCCTTTATCTTAATGAAATCTCTCATGTTCTTTTTTACTTGCCTTTCCTGCACATAGGTCTTTACATTTACTCATCCAAATTATTCAAGTAATAAAAGCAATCAACGGTACAAAAAGTTGCTGTTTGAGATACCGTCTGATACAGGGTCAGCTATGGTACATGGTATGTTTTCATATAAATCTTGCTGGAATCCATTGAGGACTTAAAATACCAGAAATCAGTTTTGCTTACCTCTCTATTTCTTTTCTTGCTATTAAAAAATTTTCATTCACTGGCCTTGCTTCATTAAGAAATTTTCTTCTATTCTACTATATTTCCATGCTAACAAGTTTAAGCCTCACTTATTGTTGGTACCTGGTTATAGGATTTGCTGGCTATTTTGATGCAACTCTCTATAAAGATGTACATCTTGGTATTGAACCATCCATGCCAACACCGAACATGTTCAGCTGGTATGACTTACATGCTCTCTTTGGATTTGTTTGCTACATGCACTGTAAACTTGGGAACTCTCTGTGTCATTTGTATGCAATTTTTCCTCTTGGTTTATTGCCAATCAACTGAGGATCCACTGCCGTGCCTATGGCTGAATCACCCTGACAATATAATGCAGTAACATTCTCCTGAATGTGAAAATTGACTATTCTAATCTCTCCAGGTTTGCAATATTTTTCCCACTAAGGCAGCCAGTATGTGTCAGAGCCGGGTCTCCTCTAGAAGTACATTTTTGGCGTTGTTGCGGTCCTACCAAGGTTGATGATCTACATTCATGCCAACACCTCTTTTCTTTCTTCTTTACACAATTGCCAGACAATATACTACTGATTTCCAAATGCCACTTTTGTTGCAGATTATTGGTCTGTGCTGCTAATTATAGCAACTTTTTCTGGTTTTCTGTGGAATTTGAACAGGTTTGGTACGAATGGTGCGTGAGTAGTCCCACCCCATCCCCCATTCACAACAGCAATGGTCGTTCATATTGGGTAGGGCTTTAGAGGTTGGAGAGGGGAAAGAAGATGTCAGGGTAGTTACTGAAGACAAAAATCAAATCAGCTGGAGCCTGGATGGGAAATTGAAGCTTTTAGAGAAGCTAATTGAACGATTAGTAACGTTTTTTGAAGGAGCTGCTACATCAAGATCCATTGATTGTATTGTAAAATGATGAGTTAAGACGGGTTGTTCCGTGTTGTTTGTGTTGTGCCTCATGTTTTACGGAAATTCTTTGGATGCTACCTTGTGAAACTATAGGGGCTTGTTCGGTCAAAAAAAAAAAAGTACCTTTAAGGCTAAATTGTGAACCTTGTGAAAGTTCAGAGGCCAGGCTAAGGATTTTTCTTTCTTTATTTAAGGGAAAACAGAGTACCTATTACACCCTTAAACGGAGCACCCTGTTTGTTTGGAGAATGGCACCCAAGTTGTGTGTATAAATCTACACGTCTATCCACAAAACACGTTTATAAACTCAACTAAAATTTTATTTATATCTATTTGTTTAATATTACACATTTGTTGCTCATGATTTAATTAACTCAGTAATCATTTTTTTTATTAGAAGTAAAAGATATTGAATTTGAATTTGCTTGAATATAGGATTGATTATTTGATTTTCTAAAAGTTTGAATGTTCATCTCTAAATTCGTTCACAATTTTGTTTGCATTTCTTCTAATGTAAATTCATTCTTCATAAATTTGTTTGCACACCACCATCCATGTCCATAAATTCATCTGTCCCGTAAATTTGTACATTTATCCATCCAAAAATATTTCGTCCAGCCACAATCTTCTATAAATGAGTCCACCCATAAATTCCTCTACAAATTTCTATTTGTCCGTCTTGAAACATCTCTATCCTTAAATGTAAAAATATTTTAAATTTAGTCCTTAAATGTTAAAAACTTAATAGTTGAAATCTTATACTGTTAAGAGAAGTTCAGTGATTGTTTCTTAATCATGTTTACCGAACAAATGGCTTTGTAGGCCAATGACAGGTAAACATACACTTGGCATGTGATTGCATAGTGAGATGTAGTTTTGAAGTGGAGTTGAAGTGGAATGCATTAAAATTCCACTAACTTATGTTTGAATTATTATGCTTTGAGAAGGTTATGACCAAAAGGAATTCCATTTTCTTTTTCGTCCTGGCACCAAATGAGCAAGAAAATAGAAATAGAGGAGTGGTGGCCTTGCAGCAAAGGCAGCGCAAAACTGAGGTTTTTGAAGGAGTTTTGGATCCAACATCACTTAACTTGAGGTAAGTAACTTTTAAACTTAACAAAATGAAGCCAAACTGAATTCTTTGAAATTTAAGTATATATTTTTAGACTTTACCTCTACACAAGAATTCAGAAACATGCAAAAGGAGGAGGACACTTATTGTTACTTTACTTTTGGAATGGTACTAGTAACTTCTACATTTTTTGGTGTTCTTGTGGGATTTTTTTGGTGAATTAATTGTTTGCAGCATGCATGATAAAGATGTGGTAGCTACAGTTTTCACATAGCAGTGCAGATTGGTGATTGTGTGTGAGTTAAATAGTGTTCATGAAACATGTGAACTAACTAGAAGTTTCAAGCTTCTTCTGTGCAAGAAATTATGATAAATACCTAAGCATTTAAGCTAGGTAGGTCCCAGTTGGATTGGGAGTATGAGACCCAATTGGACTAGGAATGTGAAGAGATGATATTAGATCCTTTATGAATCAAGGAAATTATGGCTGGGCCATTTGTAAGGTGGGATGTACACCCACGGGAAATCCATGGAAGTAAATTGCATTCTCTTGAAAACATTTAGACATGCATAAAGCTACCTTTGCTTGGTTTAAATGTGTTTCTATTGATAAAACAAAATCTTTCCTAATGCTTGGAAGATAGGACAGGCTTTTAATGCAATTTTGTCATTGAATGTACAGGGAACTATATTGAATACTATTGAGAACAGTTTTTGGTTTGACTACTGAGTGGTTTGAGGAGGATCCTTAATATCAAGCAAAACTGAAGTAATTTCAAAAGTGGCATCCACCTACCTTTTGGGGTATAGAGGACACCAAAGATGTTGATGAGTGGATACAGGATCTAGAACAAATATTTGAAGTGATGAGATGCAAGGATCATTACAAAGTTATACTGGCCACCTTTATGCTTAGAAGAGAGGCTAGGAGTTGGTGGAAACCTATTGAGGGAGGTATACTAGCAGGGGGTGAACTTAACTTGGAGGGATTTTATCAAAGACTTGTACGAGACCTATTTCTCTCAAGCTACACTTAATAGGTAGGAGCAAGATCTAAATGAATTGCGGCAGGAAGATATGATAGTACATCAGTAGTAGGCCAAATTTAATGATCTGGTGCAATTTGTTCCCCCTGTGGCTAAGGATGAATTAACCAAAATGAGAAGTTTCAGATTGGTCTATGAACTTCTATTGGAGAATTGGTAGTCTCTGCAGAACGAGACACTTATGCAAATATAATGAAAAAGGCTCAAGTAATTGAACACTACCAAACTACTATGAAGGGAAAAAAATACTAAAGAGGGAGGCAAAGGTAAAGCAGTCATCAACTACATGCAACCTCATAACAAGAGGGTTAAGCAAAAGGGTAAAAGAAGAGGGGTGTTCATTAATAAAGTAGAAGCTCAGGAACGCAAAGTGTGCCATCAAAAACATGAAGGCGAAGACTGTTACAAGAAAAGGGGTGCATGTTTCAAGTGTGGGAAGTCAGGACATTTAGCAAGAAATTGTAGTGAGGACCAACCAGATGAAAAAAGACAGAAGGTGGTTAGAAGAGTGTATGCCTTGAATGAGCAAGTTCAAGGAAATCTTGCTATGATTAGAGGTAAAATTTCAATCTCTAATGGAATAGCTAAAGTACTAATTGATCCTGGGTCCACTAACTCACTTGTGTCTCCCAATATACTGCTTTTATACCTTTTAAACCTTCAAGTCTGGGGTATGAGTTGGTAGTTAATTTGCCATCTGGTGCCAATTTAAATTCTTACACAATTTTTAAAGGATATCCCATATTTGTAAGTGGAAAAACTTTGCTGGCTGATTTGATTCTTCTTAACATAGAAGAATTTGGTGTAATTCTAGGCATGGACTAGTTGTCAGCTTATAAAGCTTTAATTGACTGTTTAGAAAAGGTAGTAAAATTTAGGATTCCTAATGAACCGAGCATACTATTATAGGGGAAGGAACCCTGAGCAAAACCAGTAATTGTTACATGAGAACAAAGAAAATGATGCAACAAGGCTGCATTGGTTACCTAGCTTATATCTTTGAGAATAGGAGTAAGCTAGTGTCCATTGAGGGTATTAGGGTAGTGGAAGATTTTAAGGATGTGTTTCCTAGAGAACTACCCAAATTATCCCCAAAGAGAGAAATTGAATTTATGATAGATTTGCTACCTGGGATAGCACCAATATCTCAACCTCCATATAGGATGGCTCCTGTAAAATTAATTGAGCTTGAAAAACAATTGCAAGAATTACTGGACAAGCGTTTCATTAGGATGAGTGTTTCACCATGGGGTGCACCAGTTTTATTTGTGAAGAAAAAGGATGCTTCACTTAGATTATGTGTAGACTATAGAAAGTTAAACCAAGTGATAGTTAAAAATAAAAATCCATTGCCTAGTGTAGATGATCTTTCTGACCAATTGCAGGGTGCTAAGGCATTTTCGAAGATCGATTTAAGGTCAAGATATCATCAGTTAAGAATAAAGCAAGATGTTGTGAAGATCGCTTTTAGAACTAGATATGGTCATTTTGAGTTCCTCGTTATGCCCTTTGGGCTAACTAATACTCTAGCAACATTTATGGATCTCATGCATAGGGTGCTACAACCATATCTAGATAAGTTTGTTATAGTTTTCATAGAAGCTATGTTGGTGTACTCACCTAATGAGGAGAGTCACACAAGACATTCAGCACTTGTCTGCAAATGCTTAGAGAAAAAGAACCATATGTCAAATTAGACAAATATAAATTTTGGTTGAAAGAAGTTAGTTTTCTGTTGCATGTAGTTTCTTGTAGTGGAATTTCTGTTGATCCTAGTAAAATTGAAGTTGTTGTAAACTGGGAAATACCAACAACTGTCACTGAGATTAGAAGTTTTCTTAGTCTAGCTGGTTATTATAGGAGGTTTGTGAAAAATTATTAAAAAATTAATGCATCTGCTACAACATTTGCTTTCCTCACTTGGTACATAATCAGATGCATTAGCATGAGCTAATATGAAAAGTTTCTACATGCAACCAGGTTTCTTGGATGAGAAATCGGATCAAACATGCATAGAAACTCCTCATATTAGCTCGTGCAAATGCATCATATGATCAGATCATGTGAAACGAGACATATCCGAATTTTATTAAGAAAACATATGTTGACTGCAGAATTCTAGGACATGGGACAAAGATGCAAAATAAAGGGTTGACAGGCAACGTGAACAGTGCGACAATGAAGCAGAGAAACAAATGACAAATTTTAGTCTCCTTGATAGTCACCCAGTAAACATTAACAGAAGGCCTACAATGGTAAGTGGAAACAAAGAAAGACAAATTAGACTAAAATCAATTGTTGTGTGACATGAAAAAGGATGTTGGTCAAGTAAAAGGATGCATATTCTTTTCCATATAGACTATAGAGTTCATAATTTTACAATCTAATTAATTAAACTGCACAAACACTTTATTAAATGGAGGAAATATTATCCATCATCAAGAAACCTCTTTTTTTTTTTTTTTTTTTTTTTTGAACAGAAGAAATTTTCAGGGGAAGGGGATAGTAAGTCATAAGAATAGAAGTCAAGTCATTATGTCCAAGCACATTTTTTTCAGGAGGTAACTATTAAATCACCAAAGATTAAACAAAAAACCTCTTGTTTTAAATTTTTATTCTTAAAATAAACACATTTTAAGAATAAATACATTTTTTGTAATTTGGGAGTTTCTTTTTAGCGCTTCCATTGATTAGTATTTTTTAATAATAATAAAAAAAAACTCTGAAATGCAAAGTTTTCAAGTGGTAGAAAAAATTACAAATTAATAATATTATAATTATAATATTATGTTAAATTATAAATTTATAATAATTTGTTATTGTCAATAACTTAAATAATTTACTGATAATACCTTTTTGTTAAAAATAAAAAATCTTAAGTTTAAATTGTATGGTATAACCATCATGGATAAGGTAAGATAAATGATAGAAAATAATTGTCTCTCATTGTGTAACTCAAATAAAAAAACTAATAATATATTATCAAATAAATAAATACATATAATATTATAAATTAATTTTTAAATTAAAAAATTAATTATAATAATATATTATAATATAACTTTATAATAGGATTGTTCTATTTTGTACTTTTTAAAACACAAGATAGATGTATAATAAATGTAATTTTTTTATAATTAACTTTTATTAAAAATGTATATATTGACTTTGATTTAATTAATTAACCAATTAAAAATATTCACGTGTCAGTAATATTAAGATATATATCAATTTTTATAATTTTTAATATAAATTAATTATAAAAAATATATTTATTATATTGTTTTATCTATGTTTTTTGTTTATATTTTTCATTCATAAAACTTGAATTAGAACTTATTTAAGAAAAATTAAGTTTCTTTTACTCAAATTAACAGTGCTTAGTATGCTTTTAAATTGCATTATAAAAATACAAGTTAGATTATCTCTTTATAATATTATATAATATTATATTTATATTATTTTTTAGAAATGATTTTGAAACAATTTTTTTGTATTATTCTTTTGCACAACTTAATTTATTATTTAAATGATTATTTTTTTTAAATTAAATAAAATTCATAATATTAAATACATTTACTCATTTTATATCATATAAAAATTATATCGAAAAAGATATAAAAGCATTATATAGCACCGCCTTTTTAAAAATTTGTCATTGAAAAATGATTCGGCTCGTGGATTCCGGCGGGAAAAGCAAGTCGCGGTATCTGACGTGTCACCAATAATTAATTTTCAATATTGGCCCGACGAGAACAAGTCAAAACTGGTCCTCCCTGCCTACCCTTCACTCTCACTACCGCTCCATCACTCCCTCACTCCCTCCCTCCCTCCCTCTAGGGTTCCTCTCAAGTTTCCGGTCCCCAGAGATCTCCAAATCCAATCCATTCCGGTAACGATTTCATCTCTTCTCTGCTCTTTTTTCTGTCCCTGCTTTTCTTGATTTCTCCGTTTGGATAAATCCATTCTGTCATCGGTTCTTCTTTTGTGAAATCTTCTTCGCTTGCTTTTTCCTAGATTCAGAAATTTCACTCCGATTTACTGCAATTCTATGCGGAACTTGAATTTCTTGATGCTTTGAATTTATGTATTGCAATGCACGTGAATTACTTGTTCATAGTAGTGTTTCTTGCTAATTTTGTTTGATTGTTGATTTCTCTTAAATGATTATTTTCATTTGTATTTACAGAACTCGTTCTCTGCCCTGGGCTTGATGGATCAGAAGGTTTGGATGACATTACTTTTTGTTTTCTTTATCGTTTTTCGTTGTACATTGTTCTTGGACTGATTGTTGTACGTGTGACGATCCAGTATGAGAAAGTTGAGAAGATTGGTGAAGGAACCTACGGTGTGGTTTACAAGGCTCTTAACCGTGAAACCAATGAAACGATCGCTTTGAAGAAGATCCGCTTGGAGCAGGAAGATGAGGGTGTGCCTAGCACTGCCATCAGAGAGATTTCTCTCTTGAAAGAAATGCAACATGGAAACATTGTTAAGTATGTATGCTGATCATGTAATTCAATGCTTCTCTCACTGCAAAATACTGACGTGTGTTAATCAACTGACTTTTAAAGATTTGAGGAAAATTTTCATCCACTAGATATTTGCTGGTTGAATGACCTTCAGAAAGACAGCATACAACTCAAGCATCAGTTGTCGATTTCAAATCCACATAAAATAGCATATGTCATGTCTATATTGTGCACTTTGAGACAATGGGATAGCTTTATAATTGAAAGTTTTGTTGAGTGTCTGACAAAGATGCTTCAAGTTGTGACCTCTTTAGGATTGAGTCACTCAGTTGTTGTATGTTACTTATTTATAATCTATAGTCCACAGATATATTAGTCAGTCTTATCCTGCATAATTAGCATTATTAGGGTATCAACTTTTTGAAACCAAAGATTTTGGCCGCTTCACTTTTCCAATGTGTGCTAACATACCTATTTTTTATGCAGTGTGTAAATTTTTTTTAATTTTCCTAATTGATATATGGGAGACAGGTTGCAGGATGTAGTGCATAGCGAGAAGCGCTTGTATCTGGTTTTCGAGTACCTCGACCTGGATTTGAAGAAGCACATGGATTCGTGCCCAGATTTTGGAAATGATCCACAAATGATAAAAGTGAGTTAAATGTTCTTCTTTTGGAACCTTCATGGGTTATGTTTGTAAAGATTAGTCACTATTTGGACTCAGTGACATTTGGCTCTAGCATATGCAATCCATCTTGGTTACAATGCCATTAGTAATTATGGTTAATTTGATTGTTTGCTTATCTTTGCAGACTTTCCTTTATCAAATTCTCCGTGGTATCGCATACTGTCATTCGCACAGGGTTCTTCATCGAGATCTGAAACCACAAAATTTATTGATAGATCGTCGTACCAATGCACTAAAGCTTGCTGATTTTGGGCTGGCCAGAGCATTCGGAATTCCTGTTAGGACATTTACGCATGAGGTACAAATATATCAGGGTCAAGTTTTTTTTCTTACTATTTCCTATTAATACTTGATTGTTGCGGCCACATTGTTAGGGTCTTTTGGCAGTGTCAAGCTGTTGATTTTACTATTAGCTTTCAATTGACAAGTGACAACTGTAAGTTTCCCTTTTGCTTGGTACTAATAATATTTTGTTTTTTCTAGGTGGTTACACTGTGGTACAGAGCCCCTGAAATACTGCTTGGATCTCGCCATTACTCAACTCCTGTTGATGTGTGGTCAGTCGGTTGTATATTTGCTGAGATGGTGAACCAGAAACCATTATTTCCAGGTGACTCTGAGATTGACGAACTATTCAAAATCTTCAGGTGATGTAGTTTCCTGTTCACCTACCTTAAAGTGGTTTCATATTCCTGAGTCCAGAAGTTCAAAAATTATTCTTCATATCTCTGAAATCAGGCATCTTTTGTAGCCTGTTGTATTTATGTTATTTTGGTATATACATTGAGAATTTTGCTCCACTTGTATTAACTCTGAAGAAGCTTTTTGTGTGATTAAAATTTTAACTCCAAAATCATTATGTAAGGTACTATGTATTGCACTATCTGAATACTCGGTTGGACCACCTTGATCCTTCATCTATGTTTTAGCACAAAGAATTCCTCAAATTGCAGCCTTCTAGCACCGATGTACTCTTTTGCTATTTTAGTTATCTATTTGTTCTCATCTTCTTCACATAGGCTGATGGTAGTTTAAGACTATGCTTTGGTCATTTAGAAGATAGGGATGATGTTGGGAATTGCATTACGGTTTGTGCCATCCTTTTTCTTGTGCCTGGAAGTTGCCCTTATAGTTAATATTCTGTTTCTCTGATCTTTTATCTTCAGCTAACACTTTACTTATTGTATGAAGAGTCTTGGGTACTCCAAATGAGGAGACATGGCCGGGAGTGACCTCACTGCCTGATTTTAAATCTGCTTTTCCTAAGTGGCCTTCTAAGGTAGTCAGCCTCGTCCATGACATCAAGTGCTAGTGTAAATCACTGTCAATCTATCTGATACATCATTGAAGGAATTACTTGATGCACCTTTTACTTGCAGGATTTGGCAGCTGCTGTTCCAAATCTTGAATCAGCTGGCATTGACCTACTGTCTGTAAGTTCTAATTTGAAATTTAATTGAGTCTGGTGGACAGTAAATAAATTATTAAAGTTAGTGATGTCAAACTACTTACACACTGGTCGTCTACCTTTCAGAAAATGCTCTGCATGGATCCCAGCAAAAGAATCACAGCTAGAAGTGCTCTTCAGCATGAATACTTCAAGGATATTGAGATTGTACCACCGTCTTCCTGAGGAGAAATATCTATACTAATGTGTACAATTGTGTGGCTTTTGATTGTGAGACATATGCATTTTTGCCCTTTCCGTTTCATTGCAATTTTTCCTTAACATCCATGGAACAAAATTCTTACCTGATGAAACTGTTTCTTTGCAGTCATCTCCAGTAATCCAGTGTGTCTCAGCAATATATTTCTCGTTTCTGTATCTCGTATATATATAAGTGGCATTTTTCAGCTTTAGCAGATTTATTATTTTAACGAACTTATAATAATTCTTTTTCTCTTTTGTTTTTTTTCTTCCTTTCTTTTTTTTTTTTTTTTTCCTTTCTTTTTTTTTTTTTTCAATTTTCTCCTACAATTAACAAAGTAACTGAACTAAAATAATTAGAAGGAAAAAAAAAAATCCTCTTCCATTAACTAAAATTGTAATTACATAATTGTATTTTGCCCGATGAATACAAAATCTAATAGAATTTTCAACATCCCTCGCTAGTCATCGTTCCTACAAAAATTAAAGAAAAAGAGGTTAAAATCAAGGTAAGGCAACAAGGGCATCTAACGAAATTGCAAAAGCAGAAAATTTAAGAAAATTGCAAAAGAATGATGTATCACGGCCCAATTATTTGCCTTGGCATCATGTCCAATTAAGAGAGAAGGCATGGATGGTTTTCATAAGACTCAAAATAAAACCTCTTCTTGTTACGAAATATTGGTCCAAATATGAAAGAATCTATATATGCCCATTTCGTCTCGGCTGTCCAGAAAGGAAAACAAAGCACATACGAGTAGATGGAAAAAAATACAGGAGGTAAAAAGATGGGTAAAGTTTCAACAAAAGCTTGTAAAGAATTTTCGAACAAGTCGAGGCCTCTCCACATGCGAAAGGTGG